TCAGCGCATATATTTGCATTGAGTGCCTTTGTTAATCTCCTTTCAGTCAAAATTTTTGGCAGCTCTTTTTTGTTCATTTGCTTCAATGGCAATTTAGATTCCCAACTGCATTTCCATTTAGTTAATATTTGTAAAGGTTCGAAAGACAAATGCAGAGCTGTATGGTAAGCGTCAGTGCAACTTATTATCAATTCGTGCCACAAGTCTTCTCGGGCAACGTGCGTACAATGAGCACTATTTTTTGAGTTAATTATATTGGTGTCCGCATCTTTGTCTTTATTAGCATAGTTCCTTAGTTCCTCATTTATAGAACGCTTGGTACATTTAGCTCATAGTGGAATCAATTGCTTTGGTATATTCAGTTCAAAGAGGACAGATTGTTAAGGTGTGAAATCCAGCACAACACGAGTTAGATGCTTTAAAGCATTCAGCTCACTGTGAGTCAAATGCCTCACAACACTCAGCTCAGCATAAATGAAGCCGAAGAAACTGACGACGAGTAGGATCCTTCTCGCCGGCCAGCTGTGGGGGCGACGGGTGACGCCGGCACTGCGCATCTTGTGGAGTGGCTAATGTCACAGGTGGCCGATGGAAATATCGCCACAGTCATACGACTGCAAAGGCGTGTAAGCGTGCGAGGTCCACCTGCAGGATACGCACTTGATTTCGTGGTGAAATGAGTGATTTGTGTGTGTGTGTGTGTGTGTGTGTGTGTGTGTGTCTATGTCTGTGTCTATGTATGTGTTTGTGTGATGAATCTGCGGGAACCAGGCCAGATAACAAGTAGTGCCCTATCCAGCAGGCGGTTGGAGAAGGCGAAGAAGGAACTGATTCTCAATCGGCAGCTGATCCTTGAGATGAAGTCCGACCTGAAACCCAAATCTCGTCGCATACGCGCCTTAAAGCAGAATTATATTAGCAAATATCCGCTAAATTTATCAGCATTTTGGTAGGCGCACCGCTTTCACCTGTACTGGATTATTGCTGTTCTGATATGCAGTAACTCCCTGCAGATGTTGCCTCTGCTTTCGTTGTCCTGGCTTCTTTTGTTCGCCAGCACCATCTGCCAATATATCCAACTCCAAGCCGTCATACTTTGCTTTGGAATCTTTTGACTGTCTACGTATAAAGGCGATTGGAATTTCACATTTTCCAAATCGTTTCGTTTCAGCAGTTGTAGTAGGATGAGCGATTTCGAGCATTTTATCAAATCTTCCCGGAAGAGATCGCCAATTTCTAATGTACTGAAATAGGGAGAAAGCAAGCGAACACTGCTTCCTGCTGGCAGCATGCTTGATTGCCTCCGTTCCTCTCGAAAAGAGTTCGTTCTGATCTAGTTGAGCTTCAGTAGGCCACAGGAGCGTGATTTATCATTGAAGCACTAGCCGACTGTTTAAATTCTGGCAATCTGCCGCTCACATTTCATTTTCCCTCCCTATTACTGTTATAGCTAAGATTACATCCACCCTTGAAGCGCGGTCCAGATCGGATTTGTGATGAAATGCAGGTTCTTAAACGTTTGAGGACTTAAAGGTTCCTTATATTAATATCACTGGACGAAATTTTCTTGAGTCTCTTACTTGTACCGAGTAACAGTAGCACTGGAAATCATAATATGT